GCGGGCTTAAGTTGCAAGGGGTTGTAGAAGTTGTAGAGATTGGCTTGGGAGAACTCGGCATAGGCTCCTGCACTACCAAACTCTGCCCAGGCCATCTGCTCAAAACACCCATGAAGCGACTGGCGTCACACGACCACAGCTCCCACAACGCACCGCACGACGCACCGCACAAGGGCTGCCTTCCAAAGTGTGGCCATCGACCTGTTGCGAGGCAGCTGCTAAGACATGCGCTGGGTTGCAAGGCCCCCCGACTACCGCACGGAAAATGCGTTGAGCAAAATGCCCCTGCTGCTCCCCATCTCTTTGGTTCCTCCTCCTCCCCACCCCCCCCCCCTCGGTTCCCCTTCGCCCATGTTTTGTTTTACCTCGGGAGAGGGAGGTCTCAGGAACCTTCAACCCCCGACTCCAAACTTTGTGTCCTCCTTAGACGTCGGGCTTATGGATAGGGTGTTTTAGGGTTTCGGGGCCAAGGGCAAGGTTGGGGGGGGGGGGGGGGGACTGAAGAACGTTCTTGGGCTCGTGTTGACAACCGTTTCCTCTCGTGACGAGAGGAATTACAGGTACCTTGTACAATCCCGGCAAAAGTGTAGAGTGGGTGAATACAAGGCCCCCAGTTCCCTCATTCAATACCGGTAGGTCTTGTACCTTGAGCACGGCAATGGATGTGCCGGCCCTAAACCCTAAACCCTAAACCCTAAACCGTAAAACCCTAAAACATCCTAAAACCCTGAACCCTAAACCCTAGAGCCAAAACCCTAACCCTACACCCTAAACCCTAAGCCCTGTGATAGCTATGCCTGAACCATCTGTGAGACCCCCGCCTGGATCGAGGCTCGGGAAGTCACTGGCACGCCAGCCTGCAAGAATCTGCAACTTCTCCACGAGCTGATCACGGGTGATCAGGGACCCCAAACCCCAAACCCTAAACCCTGGACCCTGGACCCTGGACCGTCGACCCTAAACCCTGAACCCTGAACCCTAAACCCCAAACCCTAATTCCTGAAAAGGCACATCAACGAAGACCCCAAGGTTGAGACATGTTGAGTATCTGAGGAGTCCGAGAAACCCCTGAAGCACGATGATCAAACCAGCTTCAGCTTCAGACACTAGGGTTTAGACTCGTGCACCAGACGGCAGGGCAGCCCGCTTTGTTGGGGCTCACCATGTCCGATGTTTGGGTTCAGGCTTTCCTGTGGGTCGGCACAAAGCTCACCACGCTCAGAGTCCAGGCCTGCTCCATCCTAGTGACTCAGGGTTTAGGGTTTAGGGTTTAGGGTTCAGGGCACTTGCCGGACTGAGTCGCTCGCCACTTGCTGTCAATCCCAATGTATAGGTAACTTCAGAGCGTGGAAAGCTACCCTAAACCCTAAACCCTAAACCCTAAACCCTAAACCCTAAACCCTAAACCCTAAACCCTAAACCCCTAACTTCACTAAACTTGCTGAGGCTCCCAGGGCTCGGACACAGAAAGCGCTCTCAACATCAAGAGCCAGACTTTACCGCAAAACCCCGCAAAACCATCCTAAACCCCTTCATCGGCCCCCAAGAGGCCCCCAATAGTGGGATGTTCCAGCCTTATACTTAGGGTTTAGGGTTTAGGGTTCAGGGTTTAGGGTTTAGGGTTCAGGGTTTAGGGTTAATCCTCTTCGGGATGATCATAGGGGGGGGGGTACTATAAAGCACCCTCTTCAAGACTGTTGGTATTAAGGCCCATTGTTTGTTGGGATGCTCCCCCTTATACTCATATAAAACCCCTCTTCATTTAGGGCTTAGGGTTAATAATCTTCGGGCTGATAGTAGGGGGTACAATACACCCTCTAGACCCTAGACCCTGAACCCCCTAAACCCTAAACCCTAAACCCTAAACCCGGCTAGAAGAAGGCCCTTTTCATTTCTTCCAAGGACCGCCTGCGATCCACAGAGGCGATCCACGAGGTACACGGCCTCCTCGCGGACCGCGCCTGCAGAAGTCTGGGGTTTAGGGTTTATAAGGTTTAGGTTTAGGTTTAAGGGTTTAAGGGTTTAGGGTTTAGGGTTTGGGGTTTGGGGTTTAGGGTTTAGGGTTTAGCCTATATCTTTCCTGCGAAGAAAGGCGGGGGGGGACTTCGTGCGCAGCGCTCTGCGCACTGAATCCTTAAAACATCCCTGTCCATGTTTGAAACCTTTCCCTATCCTTCTCCGAAGGTCCGGGGTGACCGCCCCCCCCCCCCCCCCCCCCCCCCCCCCCGCCGCCATTCGGCAAGTTTCTTGAAGGTTTCTCTGTCCTCTTCTTGTTCTTCTTGTGTCTTTGTTTTCTTCCTCTACTTTTTTTGTTATTCTTCTTCTTCTGCTTTTTTTTCTTCTGTGTGCTTGATGTCGCCCTCTCCCTGTCCTCTCTCTGTTAGCTTGGCACTTCAGAGAGATGTTTCAAGAGGGCTGAACAGCTCCGACCGGCGCTTGCTAGTTCAAGGACATCCTTGAAAACCAATCATGAACCTTACAGTAGAAGGGTTTATGGTTCAAGAACAGCGCGCCTTTGCCGGCATCCAGGCTCTTGCGGTGAAACTTCTCACCGTCAACCTTGCTGCCAGTAACATGTACCCTGACCATGGGATCCCACATGAACCCTAAAAGGCTTTATGGTTCACATATTTCATACACCGTAATAGGAGCTATAGACATAGAAGTACACAGTATATGGCCCCAATTGTGGGATGTGATCCCCAAGTGTATGAAAGTAAGGGACCCCTTACCTATGAACCCCCAAAGGATAGGATTCCCTTCTTATAAGGACCCCAAAAAGGCAACCCTTTTTCGGAAACCTAACCCCAATAAACCCTAAACCCTAAACCCTAAACCCTAAACCCTAAACCCTAAACCCTAAACCCTAAACCCTAAACCCTAAACCCTAAACCCTAAACCCTAAACCCTAAACCCTAAACCTACCCCCCCCCCCCCCCCCCAAGCGTATGAAGATGTATGGAAAGCGCGGTTGATCACCTTGGGGCGACTCACCACAGCGACGAGCTCCGAGCCGGCTTGAAGACGGCGATCTTCTGGCCCCCCGCCTCAAGGGTTTGGGGTTTAGGGTTTAGGGTTTAGGGTTTGGGGTTTAGGGTTTAGGGTTTAGGGTGTGATCTTGGCATGGTAGACTTGTAGACGATCTGAAGGCATCTCTGGTAGTGCCACCGTATAGTGCGCCCCTGCCAAAGCCTTGAAATGGTCGCACAGGACGAAATGAACCCTAAAATTGGGGTCATTTTACCCTGACTAGTATATCTCCTATTAAGGTAATATGAGCCATAACCCCCCTAAACCCTAAACCCTAAACTCTGAAAACCCTTTTGGGGCTCATAATTCGTCCCCTCCTCCAACGCATAGACGTTGCCAGTCTGGCCGTGGTCGAGCTCCACCGGGGATACGGCATCCTAGGGTTTAGGGTTTAGGGTTTAGGGTTTAGGGTTTAGGGTTTAGGGTTTAGGGTCTAGAGTCGCAAGTGGAACATTCAGATCTCAGCATGGGCCATTAGGCCTGATAATCCCCCCCCCCTTACCAACCCTATAAAGGGCCCCTTTTCAGGGGTTTGAGGGTATAATAGCCCATGTAGGTCATCCGATCTCTCAGCTTCGCATCACGGACACTGGCTCCCAGATTGGGTTTGGGGTATAGGGGGTCTTAGGGCGGGAGGACGATGCCGTCGGCGACCATGCCTGTGCTAAAAACCCCTCGCGAAGTCACCGGCACTTCCTTGGGGACGAAATGAACCCTAAAATTGGGGGTCATATACCCTGACTACTATAATTCCTATTAAGGTATATGAACCATAAACCCTTTTAGGGTTAATTTCGTCCCCAGGGTTCAAGGCAAACTCAGCACGTCTCTTTGACACAAAGACCGGGCACCCAATGTGAGCGAATGAGGCATAAAAGGCTCCTTCGGTGGTGGACATCCGCCCGCGCCTTAGCAAATGCCTGTCATCTTCAAATTGCAATGTACGGGACTCCTCCCATAAACCCTAAACCCTAAACCCTAACCCTAAACCCTAAACCCTAAACCCTAAACCCTGAACCCTGAACCCTAAACCCTAAACCCTAAACCCTAAACCCTAAACCCTAAACCCTAAACCCTAAACCCTAAACCCAAGCATCACAAGCTCTGAGAGAGGCCAGGCAACACAACTCCCCAAGTTCTTACCACTGGGCTATTCACCAAGCCTGGCCTTGCTACAAGTAGTTTCAAGGCTTTTCCCAGTGTCTACTACGTCATTCTAATCCCCCTTAAAGGGTTGATTGGGTTTCTTATCAAGGGTTTCTAGGGCTTTCGGGGAAATTCTTGAAACCTAAACCCTAAACCCTAAACCCTAAACCCTAAACCCTAAACCCCATTCTGGGAGGGCCCGCTTCGGAAGATGTAGGGGACGGACAGATTTGTCCAAAAGTCGCCAGTCGGATACAACCAGCGACCAAGCACCAGCAACTCCGTTGCTCCCGCAGGCAAGTCATACCCTGTAGGGTTTAGGGTTTAGGGTTTAGGGTTTGGGGTTTGGGGGTTAGGGTTTGGGGTTTGGGGTTTGGGGTTTGGGGTTTGGGGTTTAGGGTTTAGGTTTTATTGCCCTTGCCACGGGGTCATGCCAGGAGCGGTTGTGTGCACCAGGGCAATGGCAGTGGCGCAAGCAGGCTGCAAGACATGGAGTGACCCTAAACCCTAAACCCGAAACAAGAAACCATAAACCCTAAACCCTAAATCCTAAACCCTAAACCCTCAACCCTAAACCCTAAGCCCTAAACATGCATGATGTCCCCTGCGTGCCACGCCTCTCACACTCTCTGAACCATCGGGGCCTCAATTGTGCCTCTGTGTAATTAGCAGCTCAGATTCTTAAAAGCCCGGAGCCGAGCCGAATATAGGGGCCTTAACTTTTCGAACACGCTCTTGGGGGTTCTTATAGTCTAATGATGAGGGACCCTAAGGGAATACCATCAGTAATTCTTCCGACCCCTGGACTAGGCGGCCACGTACAGTCACCGCAGCGTAATGCTGGGTGCCCAGGAGGTCTCACAGCGTGCATCGGGCGCGGATCGCGCGCTGGCTCGCTGTGGCAGCGTGCCGACCTTAAGGAACCAAGTATGAAGCCCTAAGATTGGGGTCATAGACCCTATACTACTATATTCCTGTTCAGGAAATCTGAAGCCATGAAGTATGAAGCCCTAAGATTTTGGGGTCATATACCCCAAACTGCAAATTCCTTTTAAGGAAATATGAGGCCATAACCCTTTTAGGGTTCATTTAGTCCCCAAGGGACTGCGGCTGCTTTCTCTGCCTTGGCCAGCTGCTGCATGACCTTGTAGCCGTGGGTTGAGGCGAGATGTGGGGGTTTACGAAGATAGGGTTTAGGGTTTAGGGTTTAGGGTTTAGGGTTTAGGGTTCAGGGTTGAGGGTTTAGGGTTTGGGTCCCCTTCTTGGGGCTCCTTTTCGAAGGATTCTTCTATTTTGGGGTATACTCAGGGTGCCCCTATTGGCGGGAAATACTTATGTGCAAGAAGCAACAGAACAGGACAAGCCGCCTTCTGTCGCCGCTTCCTCAGCTGACTCGAGGCAGATCCCGTGAGATTTAGGGGGCTTCGAGGGGGATTCGAATAGGGTTTAGGGTTTAGGGTTTAGGGTTAGGGTTTAGGGTTTCGGGTCTAGAGTACTCAGGTTTTCACGGGGGGTTGTAGGCTTGGGTGGTTTCCCTGTTCTGTAGGGTATGTCGGTATATCTTACCGGCTGCTTGTGATGAGGTCTTAGAGTGACTACGTCCACTGGATGCATGAGCGAAGTCCATCGACCGAGGCTATCAGAGCCGCCAGTCTCTGTCTTGAGCCTGGCATGATGCCCCCCCCCCCCCCCCCCCCCTCGTATGGCCGGAACTAAACCTAAACCCTAACCCTAAACCCTAAACCCTAAACCCTAAACCCTAAACCCTAAACCCTAAACCCTAAACCCTAAACCCTAAACCCTAAACCCTAAACCCTAAACCCTAAACCCTAAACCCTAAACCCTAAACCCTAAACCCCAACCCCCCTCAATTTGAGATGGAGCACTTCTCCCACGGAGGGCAGATGTGGCAGAAGGTGCACTCCTCCCCAGCCATGCAACCTTGGAATGGGTCTAGGGTCTAGGCTCTTGGCTCTAGGCTCTAGGGTCTAGGGTTTAGGGTTTAGGGTCTAGGGTCTAGGGTCTAGGGTCTAGGGTCTAGGGTTCAGGGTTTAGGGTTTAGGGTTTAGGGTTTAGGGTTTAGGGTTTAGGGTTTAGGGTTTAGGGTTTAGGGTTTAGGGTTTAGGGTCCAGGGCGCCGATCCAACCAATCTTGTTGCCCTTGCTGGACGCGCGCGGACCCGGCTTCGGCTTGTGGAAAAAGGCGCATGGCTTGCAGGTGCCCGCATCCTCAGCTTTCGAGGGTTTAGGGTTTAGGGTTTAGGGTTTAGGGCTAAGGGCATTCCCCTAAACCCGAAAACCCAAACTCAACACAACAAAGCCCTAAAACCCCTGGAAGCCTCAGACCCTCGCAAGCGATCTCAGGAGGACCTCTCGGCTGACGGAAGACAGGGTCTTGCGGATAGCCCTAAACCCTGAACCCTGAACCCTGAACCCTGAACCCTGAACCCTAAACCCTAAACCCTAAACCCTAAACCCTAAACCCTAAACCCTAAACCCTAAACCCTAAACCCTAAACCAGGACCCATTGCTGACCCTGAAGTTGGGATCATATGCCCGACAACACTCTACACCCCCTACTAAGGTATAAGGACCATAAGACCCTTTTAGGGCTTGGGGTTTAGAGGGTTTGCTAGGATGGTCCTTAAAACCCTCCGAAAAATGTTCTTGAATATCTTCTTAAACCCATTAATGGGACTTTTTTACTTTCCTAAAGGCTGGGACCCTCTTACCTTACAGTTCTTGTGGGTTGTCTCTACGACTACCAAAATTGCAGGTAAGTAGAGTCCCAGGTAGGGTTTAGTGGCCCTAAACCCTAAACCCTAAACCCTAAACCCTAAACCCTAAACCCCTAAACCCTAAACCCTAAACCCTAAACCCTAAACCCCACACCCTAAACCCTAAACCCCTCCCCCCTTAAGAACCCTACAGCTACGGAATTCATGGGCCCAGCGTCGTGCTGCAGGGAGCCGATGGACTGCACAGCTTGTCCGGTCGCCGGATCTGAGAGATCCTTGTTGGGGTGAGGGTTTAGGGTTCAGGGTTCAGGGTTTAGGGTTTAGGGTTTAGGGTTTAGGTTTAGGGTTTAGGGTTTAGGGTTTAGGGTTTAGGGTTTAGGGTTTAGGGTTTAGGGTTTAGGGTTTAGGGTTTAGGGTTTAGGGTTTAGGGGTAGCGCGTTACAAGGGCTTGGGTTTAGGGTTTAGGGCCACGGTTAAGGGTTTTGTTGAGGGTTTAGGGTTTAGGGTTTAGGGATCATGGTTTTGGGCCCGATGCAGTCAAGCAGCTGTTTCTTCAGCATCCGGGGTCACCATCGTCTGTTCCCTTAGTTGGCGGAGCGCATTGGGTCGCGCAGCTTCTACCCGGCAACCCTTACATTGAAGACCAAACTGCTGAACCCCAAGATTTGGGGTCGTAGACCCGTATGCTACTGTGATTCCTCTTCCGGTTTCTGAACCCTAAATCCTTTCAGGGTTCAACTCCCCTAAACCTGAGCTCTGCAATCCGGAAGGGCTGTTTGTTGGCGAATGCTCGAATACCACAAGAGGGTTCAGGGTTCATAGGGCTTCGCTTCAAGCCCCATGACCTCTAGGTAGGTCATGATGACTGATGATAACAAAAACTCTTCATAGGATCCTTACAGGCAACCTGCTTCAAAAGAAAGTTTTGGGATCTTAAGACAAACTTATAGGGTTTGGGGTTCATTCCTGCTTGAGACTGGTTGCAGTTCGTCTCGATGGTTCAGGTCCTTCAGCAAGGGACAGTTTGCAATAGGTGGCCGGAGGAGTTGGGTTTGGTGGTACAGGTGTAGGGTTTGGGACATGTGGCTTTGAGTGCCGTGCATCCCAATGCTGACGAAAGCAATGAGCGTCATCATAGCAATCATCGTGATTTGGGATGTTACCCCCTTCTACTAACAGTCTTCAATAGGACTAGAGTACCCCCCCCCCCCCCGATTATAATCCGACTAAGGAGCTGCTAGTACAAGGGGGAGCATCCCAGAATCATGACGTTTTGGGTAGGCTTCTTCACTTCAGAGGCTACCCCGAGACAGGAGAGGCTTCTGCACTGGCAAGCCGGATCACGACCCGTCCTCCAGAACTGCAACGTTTAGGGTTTAGGGTTTAGGGTTTAGGGTTTAGGGTTTAGGGTTTAGGGTTTAGGGTTTAGGCCTGTCCTCCAGAACTGCGATGTATTGCGAGACTTTGTCGGCACCAGTTCTAGCGGACCCTGGCCACAGTCAGGCACACAAGGGCGGAACCCTAAACCCCTAAACCCTAAATCCCGAAAAGCCCCAAACCCTAAACTCTACCTGGGACTGGCGCAAAAACAGCCTTGAAGCACGTGGCAATGCTGCCTTCCGCACTGCAACCCCACAAAGCCCTGCAGCCCGACATCCCGAAAAGCCCCCCACCCCCGCCCCCCCCCCACCCCCCCCCCCCCCCCCCCACCCCCCCCCCCCCAAAAAAAAAAAAAAACAAAGCAAGGCAAGGACCCTAACAAACCCTACAGTCCGGTCACCCCGACATCGCCCCCATGAAAAAGCCCCGAAGCCCGATAAGCAGTAGCACCCTCGAACCCTCAAACCCTTAACCACCCAAAAAACCGACACCAAAACCCGAAAAGACCCCCCCCCCCCCCACAGAAAAATCTAAAAAACACCCCCCCCAAACAAAAACAAAAAAAGAATATATATATATATATATACATACATATATATATATATAATCATCAACCCTGAACCCACGCAACCTCGCGCTGTTCGCTTCCCCGGCCTCGGTAGCTGTGGACATCGTCCAGTAGCCGCCGAAGCGTCTCCACAGCCTCTCCAGAATTTAGGGTTTAGGGTTTAGGGTTTAGGATCGTAGGGGTTTAGGTTTGAAGAGGTTTGGGGTTGTGAAGTGGGGCACTTTGAAGCCCAAAACCCAAACCCCAAACCCCAAACCCAAACCCCAACCCTAAACCCTAAACCCTAAACCCTAAACCTAAACCCTAAACCCTAAACCCTACATTGGGGGTGAGGGGGCGGGGCACGACCTTACGACAGCTCTGAACCCCTTCAGCCTGGCTCTCCGTGGCATTCGGGGTTTCGCCTGGGAAGGGTGGACATGGAGTTTAGGGTTTAGGGTTTAGGGTTAGGGTTTAGGGTTTAGGGTTTAGGGTTTAGGGTTTAGGGTTTAGGGTTTAGGGTTTAGGGTTTAGGGTTTAGGGTTTAGGGTTTAGGGTTTAGGGTTTAGGGTTTAGGGTTTAGGGTTCAGGGGGCTTAGGGTTTAGGTTTGCTGTTGCGCAGGGCTTCAGGGTTTCGGTTCCCAAGGTTCTCTACGGCTTTTGAGGTTAAATTAGGGCTTGGGTTTAGGCTTAGGGTTTGGGGGGTTAGGGTTTAGGGTTTAGGGGGTTACCATGCTGCTTTTTGGTATGACCGTGTGATTCGTTAGGGCTTCCGTGGCTTTTGCGTTAAGGGGTAGGAACATCTCTTCCGGGGCGTACTTAGGATCTTAAACGATACTTCGGGGTTCTAAGCTAAGGGCTCGGGCGCTTTGAAGTGAGCTTAGGGAACCCATACGGAACCCCTAAACCCTAAACCCTAAACCCTAAACCCTAAACCCTAAACCCTAAACCCTAAACCCTAAACCCTAAACCCTAAACCCTAAACCCTAAACCTGCAGGAGTGTAGAACGAACCCTATGGAGCTCGGGTTCGGGACATGGGTCCAAGTTCCCTTTGCGAGCATACAAAAGCAGCTCGTTCGAGCACTTGTAGCGGTGGGTCTTACGGTGTATAAGGGAAGGGATGACCTCTAATATATACATATATATATATGGTCGCCCCCCCCCCCAAGATCCACCCCCAAGGCTGTTCAGAATCTCCTCACTCCATATATGTACTCTTTCTTATACATGCAGATGCAGAAAACGCTGCAAATACCGAGGGTTTTCCTGTTAAAACGATTGTTTCATACTTCTTTCTTACAGCGATGTGTGCATGCAGATGCCAGAAATGGACTACCAGGATCTGGTGGTTCGTTTCTGGTGTTACCGACTTCGTTCTGTGTCTGCGAAATGCGAATATGGCTTGCCTGAAACCCAAGCAATGGAAACATGACTTTCGCCTGTCCATACCGCAGAAGTGCTGTACTGTCCCTATTTTTTGGCTTGCCTGGCAAGCAAAAAATAGGGACAGTACAGCACTTTCGCCTCTCCAGACTGCAGAAGTGCTGTACTGTCCCTATTTTTTGCTTGCCTGGGGACGAGAAAATAGGGACAGTACAGCACTTTCGCCTCTCCAGACTGCAGAAGTGCCGTACTGTCCCTATTTGTTGCTTGCAGGTACCAATAAAGTGCTGTACTGTCCCTAAAAAACCTAAAAAACCAATCTTTCCAGCACTACCAGCCCTGGAGCCCCCGATAGTTCCCAAAAGATTGGTTTTTTAGGTTTTTTAGGGACAGTACGGCACTTTATTGGTACCTGCAAGCAAAAAATAGGGACAGTACAGCACTTCCGCCTTTTGAGACTGCAGAAGTGCTGTACTGTCCCTATTTTTTGCTTGCCTGGAGACGAGAAAATAGGGACAGTACAGCACTTCGCCTCTCCAGACTGCAGAAGTGCCGTACTGTCCCTATTTTTTGCTTGCAGGTACCAATAAAGTGCTGTACTGTCCCTAAAAAACCTAAAAAACCAATCTTTCCAGCACTACCAGCCCTGGAGCCCCCGGTAGTTCCCAAAAGATTGGTTTTTTAGGTTTTTTAGGGACAGTACGGCACTTTATTGGTACCTGCAAGCAAAAAATAGGGACAGTACAGCACTTTCGCTTCTTCAGATTGCAGAAGTGCTGTACTGTCCCTATTTTTTGCTTGCCTGGGGACGAGAAAATAGGGACAGTACAGCACTTTCGCCTCTCCAGACTGCAGAAGTGCCGTACTGTCCCTATTTTTTGCTTGCAGGTACCAATAAAGTGCTGTACTGTCCCTAAAAAACCTAAAAAACCAATCTTTCCAGCACTACCAGCCCTGGAGCCCCCGGTAGTTCCCAAAAGATTGGTTTTTTAGTTTTTTTAGGGACAGTACGGCACTTTATTGGTACCTGCAAGCAAAAAATAGGGACAGTACAGCACTTTCGCCTCTTGAGACTGCAGAAGTGCTGTACTGTCCCTATTTTTTGCTTGCAGGTACCAAAAATGTGCTGTACTGTCCCCAAAAACCAATTTTTTCCAGAACTATATATCTCCTCGAGGTCTTGCAGTATCTTAAGCAATCAACCATAAAAATTATAACTTCGCGAACATATCTCAACCCATCATCCCCCCGTAAGCAAAACCTGACCTCTAATTATATTAAACACTGTAGCTATCATATCTTAAGCCATCACACCCCAATAAGCAAAACAGAACACTATCCTAAAAACTATACCATAGCTAAGATATCTCAGGCAATCATCTCCCGATAAGCAACACCTGAATTCTATCCAATGTCGGTTGGTTTGTTTATATCTTGAGAATTCCAGGATGTAGTGAAAGGACATTTGCTCACAGTATTCTCGCGTCCCCCGGGGTGCAAGCCCTACAAACATAGGCATACCTGAAGCCTCAAGCCCCATAGGGCTATAAGCTTCTAATGTTATAGGTCATGCTCAAACCTTAAACCCTGCACCTTTAAACCCTATAGGGTTTACTAGTAAAAATCTAAGGTCTGGGCGTGTGTACCTTCAGCGCCCTTCAGACCCTTAAAACAACTTACTCTATGGGTTTAGGCGTAAAATGCCTAAGCCCTTAGCTCTATAGGGCTTAAAAGTTAGGAATTAAGCTTTAATTGCCCGCTTGGGTTTGAATGTCTAAATCTTAACCTACAAAACTGTCAACCTTAACCCTATAGAGTTTTTAAAGGTCAAGGGGTGAGGCTTAATTGCTAAACCCTGCCCTTGAAAGCCCTACAACCTTAACCACTAGGGTACTATTTAAGAAAGTAAGCCTTGAAACAAAAACAGGAGCGCAGCAAGGGGGCAGGGTGTGGGGGGTGTTCAGGGGTCACCCCTGACCCCCCCGCCCCCCCTGGCCCCTGTTATAAGCAAACTTATTGCTTATAAGCAATGCGTTGTGTGACAAAAACTCCTTCCAGCAAAGATTCAGCTACCAACTCATACATATCTTAAATGCCTGAACCTTAAACCCTTGCGGTTTAAACTCTATGGGCTTAGGTTAAAGTGCCTGAATCTGAAACCCTAAACCTTTAAACCTTAACCCCATTGGGTTTTACAGGTGAAGGGCTTAGGTGCAATTGTCGGCTTATGTTTAAATGCCTAAATCTTAAAACCCTAAACCTTTAAACCTTAACCCGACAGTAGACGTCAGGAAAGTCAAGACTACGAGCACTCGAAGGGTGGATCTTGGGAGGGGGGGCGAGCATATATATATATATATATACATATTATATACTTCACATAGTCCCTATATACCTAAGTAGCCCCTAAATATCCCCGAAGGTCCCTTGTAAGGGTCCCTCCTTTAGTCGTTTGAGGGTCGGTACGGTGAAGCCGGTGAGTCCCTACATTTCCGCCTTCGACTACCCTCATTCTCCTTCCTCCTCCGAGGGCATGTGGGCCCGAATGAAAGTCCAAGCGCTTGAACCCGAAGCCCTAAACCCTATAGTTACCCTAAACCCTAGCCCTACACCCTAAACCCTAAACCCTAAACCCTACATTTCCCAAAGCCTTCAAGGGCGCGAAAAGCCGGAGATTTAGGCGGCCAAGCTGCTTTGGGTCGGCCCGGGCGGGAGAGGCTCAGGTAGCTCGTTCAGAACACGATGAAGCACCTAAAAGCTCTGAGGCCCACATGCGCAACGGCTGGGTTTAGGGTTTAGGGTTTAGGGTTTAAGGTTTAGGGTTTAGGGTTTAGGGTTTACTTTTCACAGCAGAAGCAGGTGGGCCATCTCTGAAGTTTCTGCTGCTGTGCGGCTGCTTCTTCGTGCAGCACGGGGTCACCTGATCCGAGAACTTGGAGGACTTCCCAGGGTTTAGGGTTTAAGGGTTTAGGGTTTAGGGTTTAGGGCTTAGGGTTTAAGGATCTGCCCCCCGCCGATTCTTAGTACCAGGCACAGAAGCCCTATGGGTTGCACGTCCTTTGGATAAATCGTGGCTATGTCGGCCCAGTTTTTGAGAGGCTCTTTAACAGCTCTGCTAGGATCGAACATGACCCTAAACCCTAAACCCTAAACCCTAAACCCTAAACCCTAAACCCTAAACCCTAAACCCTAAACCCTAAACCAACGCAGCCTTTGTGAAGGTCCATAAACGCACATGCCAGGCAACCTCCGGCGGCCATGCCGTGGCTCCGGTGCCACTCCGGAAGGGAAAGTAATGTACAAGAAGTGAGCTACGGCCTCACTGGTTCGTGGATTTTTTTACCCTAAACCCTAAACCCTAACCCGAAACCCTAAACCCTAGACCCTATAAACCCTAAACCCTAAACCCTAAAGTCTTGCGGCTCCGCCGTGTTCTATAGCCAGAGGAACCGGGGAATGCGACGTATACGACATCTCTAGAATACAGGCCGTGGCTCGGGCAGTGCTAGTCTGTCCTCTTGAGAGATGCGGACGGCGACCAAGGAAAAGACACCAGTATGCTTAGGGGGTTTTGGGGGTTTTGGGTTTAGGGTGCAATGTTGCCGCATCTAGGCCGCACTCAAACTGCGAAAGTGTGTTGGCGTGTGTGAAAAAGATGTGGAGCTCCCTCTTCGGTTGCTTCAGTGTGACTCCTGGAAAGCTTCGCTAACCTTGGGGACGAGATGAACCCTAAAAGGGTTTATGGTTCATATTACCTTAATAGGAATTATAGTAGTCAGGGTATATGACCCCCAAGTTTAGGGTTCATTTCGTCCCCAAGGAAGCTTCGCTCTCTGCATGACCCCAGTCCTCGTGTACGTCCTCCACGAGCTTGGCACGCCGGCTGTTGCTGACCTCCTCGGGAAAACACCGCTGAGCAGAGAAGAGCATGGGCAACACCTCTGGTATCTGCAGCTCCCGTCTCAAAGCAACACAGCCTTGGGGGGCTAAGTGAACCCTTAAGTTGGGATCATATACGTCATATGCCCTATAAGAAACCCTCTTTCCTCCTTGATTCCTGTCCTGGGGCCGGCCCGGCTGCCGAGGCGGGGCGCGCAAGCGCTTACAATTACCCTTATAAGGGAGAATTTTCTTTTAAATTTGGGGTTCAAAAGCAATTAATTCGTAGTTAAGAGTTAAGTGCCCTCCCTGAAAACCCTAACATGATACTAACATTTACATTATTGTGAAGATACCCCTAAAACCCCGAATGAAACCCTCAACTTTCTGATCTCGACAGGGGCACGCCCCAAGATAGGGGTACCCCCAATATATCCCAAAATGCTATCATCATTGTAAAAAGGGTACCCCTCTTTTCGGAAACCCCCAATTCTTGCTCCCCCTCATACTAACACTCCTGACACTCCTTCATAGGGATTCTAATGAGGGGGGGTGGGAGTTCGAATCCCGATTAAGGACTGTTAGTACAAGGGGGAACATCCCAAGGCTATTAAACCTTTGTTTAGGCCCTAAAACCCTGAAAGGTACCTTCCCTAAACCCTAAACCCTAAACCCTAAACCCTAAACCCTAAACCCCAAACTCCCACAAAAGTGGCAGTCCGAGGTGCGCTGAAGTTTCCCAGCGTGTCCGTGTGCGTGAGCTTGGGCGAGGCCTGCAGGTCCCCCATTTGGGATGGTTCCCTCTTATGGGGGTTTAGGGTTTAGGGTTTAGGGTTAAGTTTAGGGTTTAGGGCTAGGGTTTAGGGCAGCAGCCATTCAAAAGGAACAAAAAAAGTCAGGGCGCTCAGAGGCAGCTCGGACGCCTCGGGGATCGACTCGCGGTGTGCATTGCGTCTGCTCTCCGGGCGCAGGGAGACCGTCTTCTCCTTCCCGACTTTGGCATTGAAACATGTCTAAATTAGGGTTGAGGGTGTAGAGTTCAGGGTTTAGGGTTTAGGGTTAGGGTTTAGAGTTTTTCTAAAGGGGTAGTTCTCGAAATTCGGGCCCCCTTGCGGCGTCCATTTTGTTATTAAGAGTGCCGTACTACATGGGGGACCCAAAATGAGACCCTTATTTAGAGAGCTACCCAGATATGGAACTGATCGAGGAGTGCATTGTGGCAACTTGATGCAAGACTTAGAATAAGACTTGCAGCTTGCCAGGGCACTGGGTCCAAAAACTATATAAAGAAAGCTACACACCAAACCCTAAAAAGCAAGCCTAAACCCCTAAACCCCTAAACCCTACACCCCAAACTCGAAAAAAGGAACCCCAATGCCCCAAGCTCTATACACTACAGACTCTAAACAGCCTTCCGGAGCGCTTCGTTCAAAGTTCCTAACCCCTAAACCTGCACCCTGAACCCTAAACCCTAAGCCCTAAACCCCAAACTCTAAACCTAAATCCTAAACCCTGAACCCCAAGCCCTAAACCCTAAACCCTAAACCCTAAACCCTAAACCCTAAGCCCGAAACCCTAAACCCTAAACCCTAGCCCTAAACCCTAAACCCTAGCCCTAAACCCCAAACCCTAAACCCTAAACCCCAACACCCTCAACCCTTGTGTTGAACGTCCCCTTCTTCGAGGAGTCCTGGAGTTGAAGGTTGCCCCAGATGCCGGACACGGTGCCGCCGACCTGTTTCTTCGCAGACGACATTATACCCTCATAGAGGCTGATGCCCTAAATCCTAAAGGGTTTAGGGTTTAGGGTTTAGGGTTTGGGGTTTGGGGTTTAGGGTTTAGGGTTTAGGGTTTAGGGTTTAGGGTTTAGGGTTTAGGGTTTAGGGTTTAGGGTTTAGGGTTTAGGGTTTAGGGTTTAGGGGAACCTAACCCACACAATGCACTCCTTTTTGTGCGGACTCAGGAACATTGCCCACCCAGGACGCGCACGCTTTCGGGCTTCGGACTTCACTTGAGGGTTCTTCTGGGCTTTGGGCTTCCCACCCGATTCCTTGGGTTTAGGGTTTAGGGCCTAGGGCCTAGGGTTTGGAAACTGAGACAAAGATTTAGGGGGGGGGGGGGGGGAGAGATACATACATACATGCATATATGCATATATATATATACATATAAGACACATATATATATATATATATAAGTGCAGATATGAGAGCAAACACAAACAGGGCACCCAGCTGGACCACGAAGAAGAGCACACGCTCTTCTTCCCCTTCCCCCCGAACGTGACCACGCAGCTGCAAAAGCGCGACCCGACTGATGGCACGGCGACCTGGACGGTTGCCGTGCGCTCGAGAGACTCCTTTGCACCTGTCCAAGGGAGCTAGATAAACCCTAAACCCTAAACCCTAAACCCTATATAAACCCTACTGTCGCGTGGCCCATGTCGGAACTTTAATGCGTAACCAGGTGCAGCGATTCTCGCAGAAAGCTTCTGCTGCTCGGTCCCCCCCTGTGTCCGATAAATCTATAAACCCTAAGCTTCTTCGTGGCAGAGAAAGCGTCCACAGGGCGAACACCCATACCCCGGAGTGCCACCTGCCAAGCCTTCCTCACAGTCCAAGTCGAAGAGGGCTTGAACCTCGAAGGAAGTAGCCAGGAGAAAGCATGGCCATGTCAAGAGAGGCGAAGGGGAATACAGCCGAAAGGAAAGGAAGACAATGAATAGTGAACAAAGCAAAGGAAGAAGGAAGGCACAGTGAGAGAAAGGGAAGGTGGAAAAGACCGAAAAGAAGGCAGGGACGAGATCCAGCGTGTGTGTTCTAAGAGCACCGACATGATCGGCATGAGAGAGAGAGAGGAATTTAAAAAAAGAGACGGGAGAGTGTGACCTGCACTTTCCGAGGAAGGCGCCGAGTTGCTTCGCTTCGACAAAGCTCTACCGAGGTCCACCTCAGCAGAACCACCCCTGGAAGACCTTGGAATTCTGCCTTTGAGAGACCATTGGGGGGTTTCCGAAAAAAACATATAGATCCCCGTAAGAGGAGCATTCCCGTAAAATAAGGACCCCCAACGAGAGCAGGATTCCCTCATAATCTACCAATTGCCCAACACCCCCCCCCCCCCGCCCAAAAAAAAAAAGGCAATGTTCTTCCTGATAAGGGTAACGTAGGGATTATCATTTTACATTTTTTGTGGTTCTTCAGCAAATGGAAGTAATAAGGACCCCAAAGAAGTACCCCTAAAATTTCGGAAGCCCCCATCTATCTTCACCTGACCCTAAACCCTAAACCCTAAACCCTAAACCCTAAACCCTAAGCTCTAAACCCAAAACCCTAAACCCCATCTCCACTGCCGAGTCGCCGGGATCGTCAGCACGGTGGGGCAGATGCTCTGAGATCGCTTGCCTGCATGCCATCGACCTCTGAACCCTAAACCCTAAACCCTAAACCCTAAACCCTAAACCCTAAACCCTAAACCCTAAACCCTAAACCCTAAACCCTAAACCCTAAACCCTAAACCCCGAACCGATGATTGGACCTTCGGAGGCCCTTCGAACTGCAATCTCAAGCCCAGTGGCTCAGGATGTTCTCTGACGCAACGTGGGGCACCACACCTGACGATGATGGTCTCAACCCTGAAACCCCAACCCTGAAACCCTAAACACCCTTTAACAGCCCTGGAAACCCCAAGAAACCCTAATAACCCGAAATCTCCTAAAAGAACCCAAACCCTCAAACCCCAAAAACCCTCATCAAAAACCTCATCAAAACCCGAAGAGCGCGTGTTGGTGCCTCTGAGAACTCACTGAGATCCGAGCGCGAGGGCGAGGAAGAGAGAGTTCTCAGGGACGTCATACCCTGGCACTGGGGGCCTGCCAGTCGCTTTGGGGGCTTTCGGGTGTAGGGTTTAGGGCTAACGGGTTCCGGGCGTAGGGTTTAGAAGGGTGCAGGGTTTAGGGTTTCAGGTTTAAGGTTCAGGTATAGGCCAGTCGTTTTGGGGTCTATCAGGGTGTAGGGTTTTAGGGTTTGGGGCCTATTCGGGTGTTTTGGGGCCTGTTCGGGCCTCTTTTAGGGCCTATCTTCAGGCCTATTAGGGTCCAGTAAGGTCTATTTCCAGGTCTATCTTAGCGTCTATGAGGGTCTATCAGGGTCTACGAGGGTCTACTAGGGTCTACCTAGGGTCTATTATAAGGTCTATAGGGTATAAGGTTTGGGTATTAGGTTTGAGGTTTAGGGTCTATAGAGTTTGTAGTGTCTTGGGTTTTGGGTTTTAAGGTCAAATCTACAGGGTTTGCAGGACCTGTAAAGGGAGTGGAGGGCAGAAACTGAAACACACTCCCTCCCTCCCTCTCCCTCCCTCCTTCTCTCTCTCTCTCTCTCTC